AGTTATAAGATAACAGCCTGAAGAAAACCATATCATTTTAAATTAGGGTTTGTAACCCTTATTAATTTCGTTTGACACTGATGTAAATAACCATGGGGCTTAATATTATATTATATCTGTAAAGAATTACAGAATATTTGAAATCTTTGACCAATCCGAATCGGGTACTACTTTTATCTCCCGAGAAGGTTTAAAAAAATTAATGCGCCCGCCATTTGACAATCTTAACACAGTGACCCTCCCCTTTATTATTTCAGCGTAAGAGTACATATAAAGGTAAGTAACCGCTTCCAGGAGTTCGGACTACTTTCTTATTTTGAAAATAAGCATATCAGAGCCTGAAATTTCGCTACCACTATTTGTTTGGTATGACGACCCAAACAAATAAAAATGTAGTCGCCATTGCATAAATTTTTAATGTTTAAAGGCATGAAGCTTTAAAAGTAACTTTTAATTTATGTAATTAGGTCATTTTTGGTTTGGTTTCACGGCTCATAAAACTGACATTATCATGTGGCGACTTTCGAGTTTTACAAGTGCCCCTTTAGGTATAAATAAAGGAACGAACGGGCACCTGAGTAAAACGACCGGTAGTAAGAAAACTTTCTCACATAAAAAATCGAAACATCGAAGTCACTTGTGGTCTCGTACCTACTTCATGAAGTATATAAAACAGAACGCAGCCTCCAAAATCCAAAGCATTTGATTGACAAAATGGGTATTATTAAAATATCATTTAATTTTTAACACAAACACGCAAGCACACATATCCATGAACTAAAGTGTTAAATGCATCTCGAAATGAAAGTCCAAGATAGGCATAATTTTACCAAATTTCCTAACATGTATATCCTTACATGTATATGTAACAAGGTTACATTGTCTAAACTACGTTACGTTATATAACAGGCCTTGTTCCTATATGCGTTCTTCAAATTGTCAAATTATTAATTTTGATTGCACGTAAAACTGTGAAATATATTTGTCCATATGTAGATAATTTGATAATCTAGATACATGCAGTTAGTTTGGGACCCTGGCAGTTGATTCATACCAAATATCATGTGGCCGAAAAAAACTTTAAACTTTCCGTGATTTAAAAAATATCCACTTACATCAAAACCAGCGTTTTTTTCTCCTAATTCGATTATTTAAACAACATTTTGCAAGGAACATATATTTCCAACTTACTCCTAACTTCTTGTTTGTTTATATATTCATTCTACGTTTAGACAGTAATTTATATATTCGAACAAACAAATTAAATGAAATAATAATCGCACATAACAGATGTCCATGAATTTCACAATTCGTTTTATAATCCTAAAGAATATACCTAATTGTTTCAAATGAAAATCAAAACAAAACAAAATTTTGAATGTCTTCCGTATTCCTCCCGAAACTTTTAACATTTTATAGCCAAATATTAATTGCTCAACATATAAAATCGAATTTTGCGCAACGTACTCTCAAAATGTTCTTATATTTTTTGAATAATCCTGTTAACATTAAACTGTAGGCATTATGATACTTTGCAATACAGGCCCCAGGGTTCTCGTTTAAATTGATAAAATGTATAACTATGAAAAAAATCACTCACATTATAATTTAAATTGATTTTTTTAAATATTTTATTTTTGAATTGTTTCAAAGACAGAAATTGTGTGTGTACCGTATCTTTTGAAATAACAGTGTGTTCCGTATCATTTCAAAATCACTTTATGAAAATATGCTAAAACATCACTGCATTCATTCGATACATTGGACATAGTAAATATATCAGATTTAACATGTATTTTTCTATGAAATAGTGTCAAAAAACATATGACTTGATAGAAATCGCCTGTTATGCCAAATGAGTGAGTACCGTTCCCCTCGGCCCAGGCTATGAAAAGAAAACTGTACTCGAATGTTATCAAAAAACATTCAAGGGTTTTCAGAACTTTGATATACCGTGGATTACTGATATAATTACGGGTACTCTGCGCCTTATCTGATCAAAATCGGTTGAGTAATAAATAAGTTGTGAATAAAAAACATACTTGAATCGGATGAAAAATCGGCGTGTTCCGTACCCGAAAAGTCACGTGGTATGGCCACATTGAAATAAGTGCATACCAAAATGTCGACGAGAACAGTATTCGACGTTGAAATATCGTTGTAAGTATATAAACGAGAAATATACGAAGACATGTTGTTACAAGCGTGGTAAAAGAATAATTAATGTGACACCTTTTTGTCATTCGGTGACAAATGGCGTATAGAACCCAGTTTAAAGAAAATAGTGAATGTGTCACTTTCGATGAAGAAATGTGGAACTACATTAAAGAAAAATAAGACAAATTAGAGAGTTTTGCAGTCATAAAGCCAAATATCCTGAAGGTGATTGAACACTAATCATTAAGGTGGAAAATTAAGGTTATTTAAAATAGTAAAAGAAAAAGTATATGCATTGGAAAATATAATTGATTCATTAAATAAAAACAATATCTGCCGGTTTTAATATATGTACACAAAACAAATCTTACGTACAGGTAAATACCGCAATAATAATTCACAATAAAGCAAATGTAGTGCATTTTTAATAGACTGACATGTATGAAATCATATCATGAAAGTCTCATAGCAACATAAAAATATATATCAACCCTATCAATACATTGAGAGCCGACATTTTGTTAATCAATCATCTTCATAATAAAATGAAACCTAAAACATTATTATTTGCATATTTTAACTTGACAACAGTTTTTTTCTAAATGTTGACGGGAAATATTTGTAGCTTGATACCAATGTAAAACGTCGTGACAGGTTTAAGGGACTGCGTCTAAGATACTGTTTAAATATGGTAAGGATTGGTTTTAATAATTATAACATCTCATGTTTCAATTACAATTTGATTACATTATTACAAGTATAAAATAGAATGGCAAAGTAAGAGTAAGTTTAAATGCTCTTCTACGAATTTAGGATTAATGCTTTGGTCGCAATTGTCTTTGGGAAATTTATTTATTCTGAATAATTTACCATTTATAAACATTTCAACACAAAACACAGACATTGGTGTAGAAATTATTTTTAAAAAGGTACAGATTGATATAAGTTATATCTAAACACAGGTACAACTGAGATTATTGAGAGTTTTTTTGTACATTGTAATTTATTATCATAAACATTGTTTCGATATCATTACAGTTTAGCTATGTACTCCCGATGCCGAAGACTAACAAATGACATTTTTTTCATTGTTCTTTTATTTTAAAGCGCAAAGTGTCATCCAACAAACATGGACAGATCCACTTAGGTATTCAACACACGACACAAATCATAAATGTAAAATATCTAGGGTTGAAGGTTACATGGCGTTCAAGATGACAGACCGAAACTGTAAGTATTAATAAATGCAATATTTGTTTATGAATAACTTTTTTTGTTTCTTTTTTCAACTATTGTGCGCAATACTGTTATTATATAAACGCATGCAACAATAATACATTCCACAAACAATAGGCCGATAATTGTTATACCTTATACTTAAAGAAGTAAACAATAGCAGCGTTTTGGTCTGCTTAATGCAATCTGTAAATTATGCACATTATACATTATTATAATTATGTAGCTAAGTGATTTCAATGTTATCTTTGATATTAAAGCTGATGGTATTTTAACACCTGACGAATTATCAACATAATGGACTTTCTACCACTCCTGAACTCACATGGCATTCTTTAACGCAGGAGATGAAAACAATGACGGCAAAATAGATTTTGATGAAGGGAATAAGGCCTTTGATTACTTTGACAATGACTGAAGAATATTGATATTGTCAAGGAGGTGCATCGAGTTTGACCTTAAGAGCAAAAATATCATGTAGCTATAAACAGGCATTTGCTATTGCTGTGAATTAATAAACATTTTGTTAAGTCCGAAGATTTAAGCATGTAAGTGAAAAAGCGAAATGTGAAAGTTACAGATTGTCCGGTGTTCAATTAAAACTATTTACAATGCTAATGCAATGTTGATTGATTGGGGATAGCATGTAAATTTATGTTTCATATTTGACTTACTTTTGAATTGCATTTAATGGGATGGTGAAATTACGGCGTACGAATTCACACGAACGTGGGATAACCTTGATCCAACAATAACGGACATGTTGACAAATAATCATTAGAAATTGTAAATGGTATTGAGTATATTTTCTAAACAACAAAAAATTAAATGTGAATATGTGTGTATATTGGTGACTTGATTTTACTTTTCATCATAAAACCATGTTGTCTTCAAGTGTAATTTGTAGATTCCAGGCCGCGTTGGTCTAAACCCTATCAGGGTTAATGCGTTGGTTCAGATTCAAGAAACTTTACACTCTTTGCTTCGTATTGATTGGTTCAAGGAACAGAATCGAGAGTTTTTCAACAAGCTTATAGCTTCCAAGTTGAAAGTATAAAGCAAATTGTTGTTTTTTTTCTTTTATTAATGAAAAACTAGTATCATTACGTTAGTAAAAAAATCGTTTCTTTTTCTATATTTGATGTATGTTAATATTCTGTTGTTTTCTTTTTGTTATTGTTTTTTTATACTTTATGTTAATTCATTTTTACATAAAATTACAAATGTAATATATAATTACATGTTATACACTTAGATTTTATGTTGGTACTGTCATGCGGTATCATTCATTTTACATTTTTGTACAGGAAAGAGATTTACAAAAGTCATTGACCTCCTTCTCTATCCTGTTTTGAGTATTTTGTTTATATATGTATGAATATAAGTGATGAATGAATATTGTTTAAACTAAACACATTTGTACAAAATTAGGTATGGTGACATAATTTAATCATTGTTATCCGCATACAGTACCGTAACGTTCACTTTCCAGTACCGTTCATGAACAGGCTAAATCAAACCGAGCCTGTAACATTTTCAATTTTGTCGTTTTGGGCTTTCTTTAGTGTTTCCATTTTTTCTATTAAAACAAATCCTGGAGAATATACGGATTCTGCCTTCAGTAACACATATGAAAATGTTTACAATCATTCGGCTTCCGCATATAGTAACAAGTGGCACTTTGATTTCCTCCGCTAATACAGGTAAAACGTCATATCTGCAAATATGAAAAGATATTTTTTCATCATTTACAGTGAACACTTTGATTTTCTCAGCAAATATAGGTAAAACACGTATTTCTGCAAATACAGGAGGAACATTTAGTTTCCGTCATATACATAAATACAGAAACGACATTTATTTTCTCATAATATTAGGGAACGACCTAGATATGGCATTTATTTTATTGAATTATCATTAAACTTCATGATATTCAATTTATCGAACGGAATGCTGTTTTTTCGCCATGAGATCCCGCTTGTCTTATTTTTGGTGATTGCTTAGTGTATATTTCCTCGACAACTTAAAAATGATGCTTTATTCAGAAGTATTTTGCAACGGTTTTGATACCTTGCCACAAGTGTGTGTGTCCCAGCTTCAACATCAACATCCTCATCTGGAAATGAATCTAGTAAAATTTTACCTTTGAACTGACACATTTATCTTAAGGATCTGCCTCAACCTTAATTCGAGATATCTAAATATATATACTGTCCTAGGATGATAACTCGAGCCTTTGTTTACATAACAAAGACCAATAACAATCCGAAAAATAGGTTAGGCAGATCAATGCCACAACCTATAAAAATGAAAATAAAACTACATATTATCATATGACTTGTTAGCGCAGTAGGTAGAGCAACCGTGACAGCAGTGTGTTTTACCCGTACAGACAGAAGTTCGACTGCTGGTAACATGGTACATATTTTTTGTTTACTTCAGCACAGCAAATTGTTCAGAAAACAAATTTGACCGGTTTTATCATATACATACATGAATATGTCATTGATATCGAATATTTTATTACACTGCGATCAAAAAAAAAAATACAAAAAGAAAATAGAATGGAAATAAAAAATATATATATATATATATATATACTATAAAATATATATATATACTATAAAATATATATTATAAGAAGAAAACAAAAAGGAAAACGAAAAATAAATAAAGAATAATGATGAAAAAACAGAGTAAGAAGAAAAAACTGTGGTTATAAAATGACTCTAAGTGGGATTCGAACCTATGAGTACAAAACACTAATACCGTAGTTACAATTACTCCGACCTACCGACAGAGCCATAACGGTAATACACAAACAATTCTGTAAGAATAATGCTATATAGTATGTGTAAGTGTTTACTTTTACGATATCGGATAATAATCCAGATAACCCCGTTTTTCGACTTTCCCATGTACCGTTAAGACCAAATTATCATCTTAGGACAGTAACATACGCATGTTTTTTTTTATTTTACATTGTTTATGGAGTTTAGAAACTGAAGTTTACTATAGACATTTATAAGTGTAAACATGGATATAAATGCAAACCATAATTAGGCAAACTGTAAAGGTATTCTTAAATTCTTATACACAAGTAGGATAATTATTAAAGTCAATGGCTTATGTGATTTATGCTTGAAAAAATGTCATTAATAAGAACAAAGCATGGTAAGAATGTAGTTAATACAGATGCTATGTCAAACTAAAAAATTTAAGAGAACATAACCTTAAAAAAATTTAGAAAAAAAAAAAATAAAATTGAAAAGTGGGTTGTCAGCATTGTTAATGTCCAAAGGAATGAAAAATAGTATATTATAATCGGAGATGTATCAATCAACGTTTAAAAAGATATTAAAGTTACAAAATACGTTTTAAACTTTAGCCTAAAGGAAGACGCCAAATTGTCTTTTTATTTGAAAAGAACAATTTAAGTCGCCCAATATCTAACATTATCACTTTGAAGAGACTACACTGAGGTCAAAAAACTTATAAAAATAAAATTTGAATATCTAACATAGATCAGGTGATGCACATTTAAATAAAAAACAACAAAAAAAAAAACGGGACACAAAATAAAAGAAATATGCTCAGATATAAACTGAAAATTTTTTCTTTTTTTTG